TGCATGCATATAAACAGTGTTATAGTTTAGATCCAGAACATTCCCCAAGATTCGTATGTTCAAAGGTGGGGAGTTTTGGGGGCTATTGGACGTTTTGGGTGCTATATTCATCCATGTAGATTGACCCATTGATGAGTTTATAGCAAAATGTGCTGTTAGGAGGTGGAGCCTGGTTGGAAAAGGTGTGTCCCTGGGGATGTGCTTTTGGAGGGTGTGTTTTCTAGTTGGATTTCTCTCTACTTCTGCTTGCCGTGGGATGAGTGGATTTCCTCCACCAGGCCCTTCTACCATACTGTTTCTGCCTTGGAGCCAGCTTCCCATGGACTGAATCCTCCTGAACCATGAGTCAGATTAAAATTTTTCTCCTTTAACTTCTGTGTTTCAGTGATAAGAAAGTGATTGATACAGGCAGCAAAATGTGTGGTTGTGTTGCCTTTTCACTTGCTAGTGACAGTACCATCCCATTTTATAAAAACAAATTAATTGGAATAACTGAATCACAAACATGAACATGTATCAAATATATGAAAAATGACCATGTAGGAAGTGAAATGAAAATGAAAGCGGGAGTCCAGAAGAAATAGCTGCCGACTGTGGGGTGGTGGTGAGTCTCTAGGTGCGCAGCCAGATGGACTTAGCAAAGGCAGACATGCAGGCATCGGCGTGGAAAGTAAGGATGAAGCGAGGTGTTCCAGAGAAAGAAGTAGTCAAGAAATGTCATTATAAAGGAACTCTGGTTGCCTCTGATGACTTTGAAAGCAAAAAGGGTAAAGTGTTGGAGAGTAATTCAAACTTAGAAAATAAATAGTATGGCAATTTTACAAAGCATAGCAAAAGGCTTTGCAGTCTTCTGTGTAGTCTAAATAGGTTGGAAAATTATGTTCTTCACCTGTTTTATGAATTTTGCCACTAGATGGTGCCAGGTGTCTAGGGAGTAGGCGAAATTCTGCATTTACTATGTGCTTATATCATGGTGAAACTTTAAAATGTTTGATCTTACTAAGAAATGTAGGGATATCAAAAGATTATTTTGTTTTGTATCATGCTGATCTCAATGTGGGTTTTTTTTACATGATAATAAGCCTAGTAAATATTGGATTTGTTGGCTTCTGGTGGTGGTTATTCAGGGGAAAAAATATTTATAAAATTTTTGTGATCCCCAGCTTTATTTTGTCTTTTTCTTAGTATGTCATATTTCCCCTGGTGATTTTTAAGTCTCTCTTGTTAAAGATATACTGTGTTGTGTACACACATACATATTCTGCCTTGAATATTTAAGCTATGTTTGTACATTTTTCTGTGCATTCCTCCCGTGAAACTTTAGCTTAGAAATAAAATCCTGGTATAGTATTTGGAAATGAGAATTAAGTATTAATGAAGTGGTTAATAGTTACCACAGACTCAGTAATACTTTTGAAAAATATTCTGCAAGATCAGTTTCTTTGAATATGAGTTTAATGAAGAATGCTCAAATTTCTCTGCGGAAATTGTTTCTTTTCTGAATGAAAGGAAGAATTAATACAGTATTTATTGTGAGGCAGGCAGCAGCGCCACTGACCTGTATCCCCAGCCCAAAATAGTATTTATTGCTTTTTGAGAAGATCCTGAAATAACGACTCTATGTTAAGTATCTCTAATCCAAAAATCTGGAATCTGCAGTATCCAGAAATCTGACATGATACCAGAAGTGGAAATTCTACACCTAGTCTCATGACAAAGTATAATCAAAACACATGCTGGGCATGGTGGCGTATCCCTGTAACCCCAGTACTTGGGAGGCTGAGGCAGGAGAATCACTGTGAGCTCAAGACAAGACTGTGCTACATAGTGAGTTCCAGGTCAGTTTCAACTACATAATTAGACCCTGTCTCAAAAACAAAAATGAAAACATAAAAACAAAAACAAAAAACCACAGACACACTAAAAAAGTTGTATGATACTACCTTCAGGGCCAGGGATTTAGCTCACTGGTGCCACTGCCTGCCTTGCAAGCACAAGGTCCCATACCAAAAAAAAAAAAAAAAAAAAAAAAAAAAAAAAAAAATAACTTATATGTGTCAAAGATATATATGAGACACACATGAATTTTGTGTTTAGACTTGGGAATATTCCTGAGATAACTCATTAAATGTGTAAAAATATTTCAAAATCCTAAAAACATCCATGTCTAGAATAATTCTGGTCCTAGGTATTTTGGATAAGAGCTACTCAGTATATATAACCCAAAAGCTGTGAGAAATCTTATGTTCCCTGTTTGATATTATTTCCAAATTATCAATTAATTTTTAAAAACAATTTAAATTCTTAGTTTTTTCACTTTTAGTGAAATATTTATGTGATACTTTTTGACACAAGTTCCATATTTTTATAGTATTTCTATTGTTGCTATTTTATTCATGTAAATGATTTTTTTCTTACCCTTTGTAAATTTTTGTTACACAGTGTGGGAGTCGATATAAAATATAAACATTGTGCTATTGAGTGGTTTTATCATGTGTATTTTAAAAAATAAGGACAAAGCCCTATTTTTGTCCAGGTCAATGTTGTAAGGCATTCCATTAATTTAGTAATGCCATTTCAGAGGAAAAATAGCATCAAATTAAATATGCTCAGTAACCATACAGCAGTCCAATCTTAGAAGTACTGAATTTTAAAATATTGTAAATATCCTGCAGTTGAGGCCTGATCAGATGAGGTATGGGGTAGAGATGTCTTGGAAGGCCTAGAATGCTAAATGGAGCCAGTGAGTGCTATTAGAGAGGGTAGTTCCCGAGTCTGTCGGTTCCAGAAAGGCTGTGCATTCAGCAACATCCAGAAATATCACAGTGGATATGTCATTTTTGAAAATTTAGAGTAGGAATTGTGGTGTGGGGGAGAAACAGGATGAAGAGAGTAGGCCAGCTTGTACTTAGGGTGTCTCCCAGGCCATGATGTTGCCCTGTCCTGTATGGGGCAGCTGTCGGTCATCCTGGACATTCTCAGGATGGGGGAGGAAAGCTTGACCTTTTTTTCATTAGTTGGTCTAAAAGCGTGCATGTCTTCATCTAGTAGCACACAGTTGCAGAAAGATGGATATTTTAATAGAAATTGTCAGGTAGTTCTTTAAACCCTTTTGACATAAACTCGTTTGCCAAAACCGACTTGCCTAGGAGTCACTTTGGAGTACAGTTCTTGACTCCTGTTCCTGTAATCTTGTTCCTGTCCTTGAATGAATTTTCTAAACCTGATAGTGGTAATCATTGTTGCACAAAGTTATTCTTACACCTTCACTTTTACTCACTTTCATTTAGGTTTTTGCAGACAGGTTACATGAGTGTAAATTAAATATGGTAACCTGTTGTATGTTTGTGTGTTCATATGAATGTGTGTTATCTGTAATGTCCTGTGTTATTTAGCAAACACCTTCACTCTTTTTCCTCTGTTAATGCCTGTTGATGCTTCCAGTATAGTAAAAAGAACAAATCAGACTCTTCATCAGTGCTCACGCAGATGATGGTTTTGAAAGAGAAGATGGCTTGATAGTTTAAGATTTAAAAGGTTACACTTAGGGCTAGGGATTTAGCTCAGTGGTTCCACCGCCTGCCTCACAAATGTTAGGGCCTGAGTTCGATTCTTTGTACCCCCCTCCCAAAAAAAAGGTTACACTTAAACTTTCTTGAGCATGGTGGTACTAGGGATTGAATCCAGAGCCTCACATGTGACCCCTCTGCCTCACCTTCCTTAGCAGGGATTATAGAAGTGCACCACCATGCCCAGCCACCCTTAGGCTGTCTGACATTACTTAATGAACTCTCATTCATTTTACATTTATATTTTACATTAATGATATCCCTGTTAAAGGTTGAGTGTGGTGTATAGAGAAGGATATTTTGCTAATAATTTTTCTAAAATAAAAATGCTTCTAATAGCTGTTTGATGACGAAATATACTTATTAGCCACACCTCCCTTTTTCTTCTCTAGCCTTAGCGCATCAGAGATTAAATACTTTGTAAAAGTATAATGCTGGTAAATATAACTTTAGAATATTGTACCTAGGCTCTGCCTTTCTTTCTTTTTTTTTTTTTTTTTTTTTTTTTTTTTTTTGGTACCGGGGATTGAACTCGGCTCCTTGCACTTGCAAGGCAGGCCACCGAACCACTGAGCTAAATCCCTGGCCGTGGCTCTGCCTTTCTTAATACTCAATTATTATTTTCTCTGAAATAGCTTATTTAAAATCAGTTAGATGAACTTGACAATTTCAATATATTGCTTAAAAGCGGAGCCTAACTTCCTGTTCTCCCACCCCTTCCCACACCGTGCCAGTTTTTCTTCGGTGCATGAGACATTGAGAACAGTGAGATCTTACATATTTTATAATGGAATGACAGAAAGTACAGTAGTCGATTTTTACTCAGTTATATCTGCAGTAAATAAACTACTTTGAAAATAGCATTCCTTTTCAAAATTTTGAACCTCAGGCTCCTTCAGACTGTCCCCTTATTTTTGTTTCCTGCAAAAGTGTCTTCAGAATAACCGTGAGTCCTGGAGAAGATATGGTGCACTAACACGGCTGCAGCTTCCCTTTTCAGTGGTATTGTGGTTTAGGCCCATCCAGGGAATACTGAGCTATGTCCTCAACCCTTAAAAGTTTGGAATAGTTCACTGAGTTGTCCAGACTGGTCTTGAACTTGTGATCCTCCTGACTTAGCCTCTTAAGTAACTGGGACAGCAGCGTAGTAGGTGTGTGCTACCAGGCCCAGGTGGCTGTCACTCGCTCTGGGTCCTCAGTCTGCTCCTGCATTAACCCTACCATTCAGCCATATCCTTCCTTTCATTTATTTCACTTTTTGCTGTGTTTTCATGTTTTTCTTAGTTCCAAATTATGTTGCAATTTCATGCCATTTAGTTATTTCTTCAAGTCCATATTTTGAGGGACTCAAGCAAGAAAAATGAACAGCAACATTTATTTACACTTTGTACATATTGATTCCAACAAATAATACGGTCTCATCAGTATAGTCTACACATCAGTATAATCATAATATATACGGACTTCTGATCTTCTGACACTTTGAAGTGATCTGATGCTTTCACTCCTGGTCCTGATATTTGATTTCTTGAATAACTGCCTTGAAAAAGACCTACACATGAAAAAGTAAATTATTGGATCCAGACACACATTGCATGCAGACAAAAAAAGTGTCATCTCTTTGCAATAATAGAGGATTTTGTGTGCAGATTCATCTAGTAGCCTGTCCAAGTAACTAAAAGTGAAAGGAATTCTGCACAAGTGATACGGTAAAAAGCAGGTAAAAAATACCGCTACAACCACTCTAATGCTCTGGTTATGTTTTCGCTTTCGGCTCGACTGACTTATGAATTGCCTGCTAGACTTGTGGATGTACCTGGATATGGCTATGTAACATCCAATCAGAATCACCAGCACAACCACAAACAAGCAGCTGTTCACATAGTTGACTGCCTTATGCCATTTGACTCCCAATGGACTTTTAAGTTTCATGCAGTCATAGATAGTTTCCTTAGTTGGTTGGCCATTTGTTAGGATAATGTTTGGTAAGGACAGAACAGCCATGATCACCCAAACACAAACAGATAAAACCTTTGTAAAGGTTATGCTGTACATTCGGGAGTCTCCAAATGGCTTAACCACCTTCAGATAGCGATCAATGCTTATCAGCCCAAGAAACACAATAGAAGTGTACATATTTGCATAAAACAGAACTGAAGTGTATCTGCATAGGATCGACTTGAAGAACCAAGGTCCAAATCCTGCATCATGGACTATTCGAAATGGAAATGTCAGTGTCATTATAAGGTCAGCAACCACTATGTTTTTGAGATAAAATATGAAGCTGGTTTTATTCCTAATATGGAAGAAGATCCACACTGCTAGACCATTCAGCAAGATACTTGCTACAAATAGAATGAGGTAAAGCACAGGCAAGACAATAGTGTCAAACTCATTGTGAAGGGTGATGTTTTTTCCAGGTCCATCAGTCGTGTTGCTTGGAGTTGGACTTGCTTGGGTGGACAGCTCATTATCTGTAGGAGAAGTGGAGAAACAGTTCTTCAGTGCTAGATTTGTACACCCCACATTCCCCCGGGCTCCCAGTTGAACTGTTGTTATTTTGAATGAGTCTGAAGATGTTCTCAACAGTGGAAAGTGGCCTCCTCTCTCCCCACACCAGAGTCCTTCAAGTAAATGCCATATTTCTGATTCTCTTGAACAGCCTTTTGAAAATAAATACGTCAACTTAAATTGTCCTGATTTTTAATTCATTGTTTGGTATCACTATGGAACCAACAAAACCTGAGACAGAAAATTGAAATTTCTTGTAACAAGAAAATAAAATAGGACATGGTAATTATTTTACTCTCTGAATATACTCTGTCTACCCCAGGATCCAATCATCAAGAGTTGGGAAGGAATAAAATTAAGTGGTCATTTTGAATTTTTGTCTATGACTTTCTTAACTTAGGATTCTTTAGGAACTGTAGTCAGGAATATAAATAAAACATGTGGGCCTTTTTTTTTTTAAGTGAAAAGAAAAGCTGTCTTCTAAAATAAGACAAAATCCAAGGGAGATTTAGATCTGAGTTGGTGATTCTTGTTGTTGTTGTTGTTGTTTTTTGAGACAGGGTCTCACTATGTAGTTGAGACTGACCTAGAACTCACTATGTAGCCCAGGCTGGTCTTGAACTCACGGTGATCCTCCTGCCTCAGCCTTCTGCGTCCTGGGATTACAGGCGTGCACCACCACACCCGGCACTGAGTTGGTGATTCTTTAAGGTGCATTTTCACTTTAGTAGAATTTAATTTGTAGGTTAGTGTGAAATTACTGCAGATAACCTGTTTGTGGATTATAATAATCTTTAACTATTATACACCATCTAGTGCACTTTTCGGTGAAATGTATTTATGTAGTTAAGAGTATTCTCAAGTAAATGGTTCTGTGTAGTCCAGTGAAAAATGCTGATTTTATTCTCTCATTATTATTATTTTTTTTTTGTACCGGGGATTGAACTCAGGTCCTTTCACTTGCAAGGCAGGCCACCGAACCGCTGAGCTAAATCCCCAGCCCCGTTTTCTCATTCTTAATGTTTAACTTTATTACAAAAGAAGGTAACTTGCTAAATTAATTGCAGGCTTGCTGTGTTTTTCTTATTTACAAATGTAGATTATGCCTCTTAAGTTTGTTATGAGTTTTTAAAAATATTTTGCATTTTTGGTACATGTGATTAAAGATGATTACTATACTACTCTATCATATAATCACTGGAGTAGTTTAGGAGCATTTGGTTTATGTAGCAGCCATGAAAATGGCCTCACAGATATTCTTTTTTTTGAAAAGTGCAGGGAGTGTGGAGGGTAGGCTACTCTGCTGCAGTGTGTTCCAGCTGGTGCCACGTGTCCCCAGGACCACTCCCCTTTATGACTGAATGTGGCAGCGAAGCTCAGACAATCCTGTTTCTGCTGGACGAGGATTTCCTCTTGCATATGACTGGCTGGAGAACTTCTGAAAGTCTGGCTGAAATTCTTCACAAATTATAGTGCATTATGACTCTTCCTATTCAACTTGATTCCTCCCTCCCCCCAGCTGGTGCCACGTGTCCCCAGGACCACTCCCCTTTATGACTGAATGTGGCAGCGAAGCTCAGACAATCCTGTTTCTGCTGGACGAGGATTTCCTCTTGCATATGACTGGCTGGAGAACTTCTGAAAGTCTGGCTGAAATTCTTCACAAATTATAGTGCATTATGACTCTTCCTATTCAACTTGATTCCTCCCTCCCCCCCCCCC